CAGACTGTCACGCTCACCCCTTTTCTTTGAATTTGGTCTCCCACAGCCTCTTTAGATAATAAATAAAAATACAAACATAAAAACTTCGAGGATTTCTTTTAAGTTACATTTGGGGAGTAGGTAAGGGATAATGTCTAGAATATTTCTGAATAAATTTTTTGAGGTTTTTTTAGTATGTTTTTTCTAATCATAGTTTTTCACAGGTTTATCATTTCATTCTGACATACATTTATGTGTCCATTTTTACTGAATCGCCAACTTAGTTTCAAAATCTGCAGAGTCGGTTGTGTCTTTTACTGTTGTGGTTTAAGAATGGCATGTTCTTTTCGGCCAACCATGTTTAACTTGAGCCATTGTCATATAATCTTACTTATCAGTGTCGTTTTCAGCATCTGTTGTGAAATTTTTAGAAAACATGCAAAATTGTTGTTTCAAAATACATATACTGACGTTGCCAGAAAGAAACTCTACAATCTTAGCCATGCCCACGATGTGGGTGCCGACTCTTCACATTTATTCAAATATGTGGCCTCAATCAGACCTCTTAACAGTCCTGGAAAATGTCAAAATAACATAAGAGACAAAGAAACATAGTAAGAAGCTGCATCTTTTTGATTTGTTGGTTTTTTTTTAAGTAACCAGAATACGAAAATGTACTCATTTTTCTGGAGCTGTTTACTCTGCCAGCCAGGCAGAATGATTTTTCTGATAAAGTTGAAGGTTTCAGAAACCACTGATTTGGTTTTATTTTTATAATGCCAAGGGATTAATGTAAAATTCTGTTGTTATAAACGTGGGAAGATCTACCATATGCTGGAATTGAATTCAGAGCATCATGCTAATCAAATTAAAGACTTGTACAAAAGAGAATAATGGACAGTGGTGTAAATTAAAACCACCTGTAAGTCTGTCCTGCAACCTGTCTATCCGTTCGTCGTACTGCGGTGGCTGTGTGTTGCTGCGATGCTGGAAGCTGTGCCACTGGTGTTTCAAATACCAGCAGGGTCACCCGCGGTGGACAGGTTACAGTGGAGCTTGCACACTGAGACATTCTGGAAAGAAAGGCCTGGTGACCTGCTTCACAGTATTAGCCAATGAAAACCTCAGGAGTCACCAGAGAACACTGTCCAACTTCCTCGCTTTGGACTCGTCATCAGGAGGGCTCAGGAGCTGAAAGAGGACATGGTGTTTGGTGAAGTAGTGGGCCAGCGAGGGGAGGGAGACCCTCAGTGAGATGGACTCCATAACAGCTGCAACAATGGACTTAAACACAGTAGCAGTTGTGAGGATGACGCAAGACTGAGCAACGTTTCGTTCTCTTATATTTAAGGTCGCCATGAGTTGGAGTTAACTCTGTCTGTAAATCCATCATCGTATATGCAAAAAGCAATAAAGTATTAAAGAAATTCTGTGAAAATGCACTTAGAGACAGCTTCGAATGAAAACTTACTCTAACGGTTTGATTTAGAATTTGAATATGTATTTTAAAAATAAATATTTGTGTTGGCATAGATTTTTTGATGAATGGAAAAAGGAAGGAGCAAAGACTGTCCTGTTTCCCATCTGTTTAACCAGTGTTCATTGGCTCTATTAGTATGTTCTAAGTATGGTGAGCCATGTAGGATTCTCGAGGCGGTTACGCGGTAACTGGGGGAGATAAGAAGTGACTCAGGGCTATAAGGCAATATGAGTGCCAGGAAAGGAGACAGCAGAATTCAACAGAGGGCTTTAAAGAAAGGAGAAGCCAGATAATTTGTGGAAGAGATTTGTCATAGGCTTTAAGAGATGCATTATTATAATGAAAAATGGGTACAGTACAGGCAAAGGCTTATAGCTGGGAGAAGGATATCTCTGGTGTGATGAGTAAACTCCTGTCTGTCTGATATCTTTGGCAACATTTATTATGATCAGTTAAAGTGGACTGTTTATCCCCCAGAAGGAGCCCTGGTGGCACAGGGTTAAGTGCTTGGCTGCTAACAGAAAGGGCCAGTTTGACACTGCCTGCCGCTCTGCAGGAGGAAGATGTGGCAGTCTGCTTCCTTAAAGATTACAGCCTCGGAAACCCTGTGGGCAGTTCTGTGTCCTGTGGCATGGGTTTCGTGTCTTGGGCTATTTATCTCCAACACTAGACTGTAGTTTCCTGAGGGACGATTAAGTTACCTGTTTTTTGGTATGCCTGGCATTTAGGGTTTAGTAGATGGCCAAAGAGTGTTTCATGAGTAAACGGTCAAATATAGTGAATTGGGAGGAATAAACCAGCTCACTGGAAATTCTAAATACTGAGCTCAGGAATTGGGGTTTTAATATCACACAGGCAAGGAGAAGCCTTTGGAGACTTTTTCTCCTGAGAGTGACCTTTTGTTGTGAATTGTTCAACAAGTGCTGATTGAATGTGCTGGGCGTTGCAGTGACCAGATGAATATCCCCAGGATCTCACTGTCTAGTATCCACTGCAGAAGGTCTAGGTGACCCTTTAGGGGGCTTAATTTCACAGTGATCTATGTGATAGGTTGGAGTTAAAACTCGAAAGGTACAAAACCAAGGTACGCAGCAGTTATGTAGCTTGTTAGTTGTGGTCGAGTTGGCTCCGGTTACGTGTGATAGAAGGAAACATTGCCGGGTCCTGCACCATCCTTCATAACGGTTGGTATGTTTGAGTCCATTGTAGAGGCTGTTGAGTCAGCCTGTCTCACTGAGGGTTTCCCTTGTTCTCGCTGACCCTCTACCAACCATAATGTCCTTTTCTAGTGATTGGTCTTTCCCCATTACATGGCCAATGTAAGTTAGCTGAAGTCCCGCCATACTCTCCTCTAAGGAGTATTCTGGTTTTATTTCTTCTGAGACAGATTTATTCATTCCTGTGGAAGTTCATGTGGTATGTGGAGCTGGTAGTAGTAAGGGGATTCGGGTGCTGGCAGGGAAAACGGAAGAATTAGGGAAGATACCTGAGTTATTGTGAAGTAAAAATCATCAGTGACTGATTTGACCTAGAGGGTGAGACAAATGAAAGCGACAAGCTTAAGCTTGCTGACTGACTTTTCTTGATGCTACCTGACTTTGTTAGTTCTTGTATTTAAAAATGTTTTTAATAACGTTTTCCTAGTATAAGTTTGGAGCCCTGGTGGTTCAGTGGTTAAGAGCTCGGCTGCCAACCAAGAGGTCAGCAGTTGGAATCCACCAGTCGCTCCTTGGAAACCCTGTGGGGCAGTTCTCTGTCCTCTAGGGTCACTATGAGTTGGATCGACTCCATGGCAATGGGTTTGGTTTTTTGGTTTTAGTATAAGGTTGTGAGTCTGTACTGTGCTGAGTCTTCTTTCAAGACATCACTAATGGGGTAAAAATCTTCGTCGTTATAACTAAGCAGTGATGAATTGCATAGGGTTCAGGGTGAGCATGGGGGACAGAGGGATCTTTTTGACAATTATTACAGCAAATTTTTAAGTTAGTTGTAAAATTTTGCCTGAGCGGGGGATACGGAATTGAATTTTTTTTTTTTGTTAACCAGAAAACATGTGCCATCCAAGTGACTTCTTTTAATCTAATGAGAAATTATGTCCAACAGTGTATGTTACTATTGCAAATTTTACTGTTCAGTTTGTGAGAGGGTAGGCCAGGCTGTCCTTGACTGTCATTAATTACGAACTTGAAATACGAAATATGAAAAAATACATAGAGGCCCAGTGGCATATGTGAGACAGTGAGCATTTTTAACTTCATTTTTAAAGTAAATTCTTCATTGTGTAATGCCCAGTGTATTTCTTCATATAAGCTGATTTTTATAATCGAGCAAGAAAACTTTTTAATTCTGCATTACACAGCAGAAAACTTTTCAAGTTAGAAAAGACGTTTAATTAAACTTCAGGTTAAAATACTTTCTCAGTGTACTTGTTTCTTATTAAAAGTCATTGTTTTAAAGAGACAGTTTATATCTTACTAAAGGTTATTTGCCTCATCATCTTATCAGGTTATGTAACATTCTACTTGGAACCTTTGGAACAATCCATTTCTCTTCTTCTGGGAAACTCATCCCAGATAATCAAGAGATGTAGATGTTTTTACATCACTTTTCAAGAAAGAATTTGAATGGTATTTTGGGCTAATGGTATTTATCGTATCTGTGGTTAAATACTGCATGTGTTTAACTCAACTTGAAACTAAAAATCAAAGGAATTTTGATGCTCTTTATCTTTTTTCATCTGCTTTGAGTTTGACATCTCTTTCTGAACAAAGCCATGTTTGTGAAGGATATTAAGTTTTGTTTGGCCTTCCTCTCAACTGAAAGTACTCGGTAGATGTGAGGTTATGCTCCTCAGACTGATTGATACATAAACAGAAGACAGATGGTAGAGGTGACTCTGATGATAATTCATTTTTCAGCTAGTCATGAAGATATTTTGATTACAGTGTGTTTAAGTAATTATAACGCAGCGTGCAATGCTAGTCTTGCTGGTTAGGGAGCACATGGAAAACAAGTTATGTGTTCTTTGTGCCCAACAAAGGATACACTATGGTGTAGTGATTTTAATTCCTAAGGCTAGATTAGGGCTGAGGGAGTTTAAAATATGTCATACGGTATGGTGAGTAAATTAAGTCTAGACCAAATAAAAAAGGTAACTGCACAGTTTTGAGGCATAAATATTTGTTTTGGAAAGTATTTAGATGTTACCATCTGAAAGGGGCCAGTATGTTTCAATGTAGGTAACAGTTTGTGCCCAGCTAATTAAAAAATGACCCGGCTTGATTTCAAGTTGACACGGCTGGTCATTACCATGCAGCTTGCTTGCTGTGTCGTGAATTTAAAACCGAAATCGGGGCTGACCAGTCAACAGCATGTTGTATCCATGCTGTTCTTAAAGTTCTGCGAAAAAAACGAGTAAAACGTCAAAAGGAGAAAAATAATTAAAATCATGGGAATAGGTGGGCCATCTAAATTTTCATTTTCACCCACTAATTACAACTTACACATTTTATACACTTTGTATCATTATGTTTTCAAATAGGATAATTGACCGCTTAGATGGGGTTCGGTTGTTGTGGTCACTGCTGAAGAACCCACACCCAGACGTGAAGGCCAGTGCAGCGTGGGCCCTTTGCCCCTGCATTGAAAATGCTAAGGTAAGAAAAGACTGTAAGTTCATTCTAGAATTTCTAATACCATACTGAATAATGTCGCTACTCATACTAGTTGCTGTCACGTTGATTCCTACTCATGGCAACCCCATGTGTGCCGAGTTTGTGCTCCGTAGGGTTTTCAAGGCTCTGCCCTTTGAGAAGTAGATGGCCAGGCTTTTATTCCAGAGCATCTCTGGGTGGACTTGAACTGACAACCCTTTGGTTCGTAGTCACACACTTAGCCATTTGTGCCTTCCAAGGACTATGTATAATGACACTAGAGTTTACTGATGACTTTGGATTTATTTTTGGTAAGAATTATCTTGTGGAAGACACCACTGAACAATTTTTATATCAGAATAATTTGTGAACAGTGCCTTTTCCTGGTCAGTTTTAAAATGCCCAGTGAAACTAGTCTAAGATGGCAGAGCTGGTGTAGTGGAAACAAGTGTCCCAGGTAAATCAAGGTAAAGAAAAGTTGACTCTTCTTCCCTGTTGAGTGATACGAAAAATTGTCTGCATTTATCTGCTACTTACAGGGAGTGACAGCATGTCTGAGATGACAGGTTCCATCATATTTGTAGACTGCAGTGAAAGGTCCAAAACCCGTTTCTGCTGAGTCAATTCCGACTTATAGCAGTCCTGTAGGACAGAGTAGAAGTACCCCATAGGGTTTCCAAGGTTGTAAATCTTTACGGAAGTGGACTGCGACATCTTTCTCCTGTGGAGCCAGTGGTGTGTTTGAACCACTAACCTTCTGGTTAGCAGCTGAGTGCTTAACCACTGTGCCACCAAGGCGCCTTAGTGACAGATCCCTAAGGTTATTTATTACCTTGAAAAAGTTACATAATTTCACCAAGTCCCACTTTTCTTATTTGCCAGTAAAGACTTCACTAGAGATTGCTAAGGTTTATTTTTAGTTCTTCATTTGAAAATTTTATCGTTTTCTCTAAAGATCTTTTTAAAGCCTGTTTCTGCTGTATCTACTTAAAAATTTGCTACGGGTTTAAGGGTTTCTTTAAGAACCTTGTTGCTGAACCTTTTTCTCCTTGTTGAATATTTTTATCTAAGGGGTTTTATTTCTATAATAACGTAACTCTAACTATCATCCTAAATATTTGACTAGAAATAACTTTTTGTAAAAAGTGAATTGTGATGCATACTAGGAGTAGAGGAGACCTACTACCAACTTGTTAATGGAATCAGTATTTTTTCTGTTTGTTTATTGCTTTAAGTGAAAGTTTACATTTCAAGTTAGTCTCTTATACAAAAATTTATACATGCATTGTTATGTGACCCTAATTGCTCTCCCTGTACTGTGACAGCACACTCCTCCTTTCCATCCATGATTTCCCTTGTCCATTCAATGAGCTCCTAACCCTCTCTGCCTTCTCATCTCACCTCCGGACAAAAGCTCTCCATTTAGTCTCATGTATCTACTAGAGCTAAGAAGCACACTCTTCACGAGTATCATTTTATGTCCCACGGAATCATTATTTTTAATAGCAAAAAATAGAAAAGAAAACAAATTAAGTGTTGATCTACAGGAAAATGGACAACAGGGTGGTAATTGTACACCAAAATAACAATGAAAAATGAACGTATTTCAGCAGTAAACTCATCAATATAGCACAAACATATTGAACAAAAAAAAGTTGCAGAAATAGACAGTATGATTACATTGTTATAAAGTTCAATGAAGTTCAAAAATATCCAAAATTCAAACAATATTCTTTAGGGAGCAAGAAAGAAGCCTACTGGGGAAAGATTGGTACACATCCGTGAAGGATATCCCCATCAGTTATTTGAACTAATCAGCCCAGTCCTTCATTCATAAAAATAAACAACTAAGGCTCACCAAACATTTCAGGAAGACTAATGGTACTAAAGAGACAAGCCGAGATTAATAAGCAGGACAATTAACTTTAGAGGAAACATAATATAAAGGACAGAAGATAACTTCACATTTTTAAAATTAATATTCTCAGGAGATTCAAGGGGACACTTTGTCCAAATAAGCTGTTATTGAAAAGGAAACATTCGTAGATTAAGAAAGGGTTCTTGAAAATTAAAAAAATATACTTGGTAAAATAATAAATTTAATAGAAGGGGTGAGTATTAGGATGGATCTGGCTGGAAGGTAAAGTCATAACTAAGACTGTAAAGTAGGAGTAAAAAGAAAATAGGGCATGAAAACACAAAAGAAAGAAAAAGAATAATTGAAGACGTAGTCATATTTTTAAAAAAAGGAAAGAAAAAGGGATATTTCTATAAGCTAAAGAGCTGAAGAAACTCTAGTCTTTAGATTGAAAAGATTCACTTAGTACCAAGGAAGAAAAATAAACAAAAACTTCCACACTTAGTCAAAATTCAAACTTGATATTTCTTGAAATTAAAGGAAAAAAAAATGATTACAAAAGAGAAAGAATCACAGTGACATTAGACTTAACTACAATAAATTCTAAAAAAAAAAAAAAATTGAACAATGCCTTTACTCCGTCCCTCTTGTTGTTATTGTGTCCCATTGAGCTGATTCTAACTTACAGAGACCCAGTGTGACAGAATAAAGCTTCCCCATGGGTTTTCTAGGCCAGAATCTTTACAGGAGCAGATCGCCAGGTCTTTTCTCCTGAGGAGCAGCTGGTGGGTTTGAACCATTGACTTTTTGGTTAGCAGCCCAGTGCTTAACTGTTGTACCATGAGGGCTCTTTTTAACTATCCTTAGGCAAAAATAATTTTTATCCTGGAATTCTATACCCTGAAAAACTAACATTCAAGTGTGAGTACAAAGTAAGAACAAAATACTTCAGGTACCCAATGCACCTTTTTTGAAAAATTGTAAAATTACTTTAGAATATTTTTCAGCAAAAAAAAAAAAATTCTATGAAAGAGGACAACATGAGTTATAAGAAACAATAATAAGTAAATAGAATTTATAAGTAAATTCTATAAAAAATTAAAAGTAAATTATAAGTAAATTTAGAATTTATAGTTAAATATGACTCGTTTGCTAAGTCGTTTACAAATTTGATCAAATTATTAAGAATTACTTTAAAAGTAACAACATAAAATACAGTAAAAACATAACAGTATTCTCACAGTAACAACCTGGATCTAAACTACCAGATGGTTTAACCAAACATGTTAGGTAATGAGGAGATAAGAGGTAAAAGCATACTAAAGAGAGACAGCCCAAGATGGTGACTTAGTCAGACATGCTGTCCCCTCCAGCAAAGACCCGAGAAACCAAGTGAAACACATACAGATGAGAATCCTGGAACCCTGAGGATCAAAAGGAAGGATGAAGAATTAGAACACCAGTTGGAAGGAGAAACTGAACGAAAACAGCAAACAAGGAGGTGACGGATTGGAGGTGCCTTGCCAGCGTGTCCATCTTGAGACAAAGCGAGCAGCGACCCCAGGTGAGGAGCACAGGAAGGCGACTTCACGGAATTCCCAAGAGCAGACAGAGAAACTGTGTAAACAAACCTGTAGTGAAGCAAGGTGAGCAGGACATGAATCGGATCTAAGAAGGGAAAGCACAGGAAGGTGTGTGAGAGCTCCAAGGATCCTGGCATCCACATAGCAGGGAGGGAGCCAGGAATCAGAGACAGGACTACTCACCAGTGGCAGTCCCCGACCATTAAGGTAGGTAGCGCACGCAGAGTAGCAGATCCATAGAATGTCAGCAGGAGGTCCCCCACTGGACGAGACTCCAGGCAGCCCCGACCCTCCCTGCATTTGTCGGAACCAGATCCCGATTGCTGGCTGCAGCCTATGGTGAGTGCCGTGGCACCCATGCCTGGCAGCTAGAGGAACTTGCTCTCCTGCCCCTCCCCCTCCCAGTGACCAGCAGCGAGAGCCTCCCCACCCCACTTCTGCTGCGCCACCTGCCTGGGAACTATGGTATGAGCCTCCCTGTCCCCCCCACCTTACTCCTCCTGTGACTGGCAACATGCATCTGCTCTGCCTGCCACCCACCACCCAGCAGCTCCGTCCACCTGATGAGCAGCAGTGTGCACTCCCACACCACTGAACCTACGACTGGCAGCAGCATGTGCCTGCTCCACCCATCAGCCTCCCGTCCGCCGCCCTGCCAACCTGGAGAGCAACAGAGAGCATGCCCACACTGCTAGACTGATGACTGACAGCAGAACACACCCACCCTGCCCATCACGCCGCCACCACCCTGCCCACCTGGCAAGTGGCAGCATACACTCCTGCACCACCAGACTGATCAGTGGCAGTGCGTTGCCCACCCGCCTGTCCCCCACTGCCACCCCGCCCACCTGGCAATAGGTGGCTAGTGCTCCTGTGCCACCAGACCAGTGATCAGTGGAGCACACCCACCTCTCCTGCCCTGATATAGCAAAACAAAACAACAAAAAAACCAGGACAAAACAAATATACAGTCAATCAATAAATGTATGAATAAATAACACCTTAATGCCCCAGAGACAGCAGACAATAAAATATCATATGAAGAAACAGGATAAGTTGGCTCAAACAAGTGAGCAAAATAAAGGGAAAGAAACCCTTCCTGAGGAATAGATGATGATAGAACTACCTGAGAAGGAATTAAAAAGATTTATATCTAGGGTCCTCAAAGAGATCAAAAAAAACACAGAAAAAACCCTAGAAGAATTCAGGAAAACAATACAAGAACAAAATGACAAGACTCAGTAGACAATTAGAAACCGTACATAAACCACAACTAGAAATTCAGAAGATTAACAAACAAATGTCAGAAATAGTTAACACAGTGGAAGAACACAGAAGAGAGTTGAACCAATGGAAGAAAGAATCAGCCAAATAGGAGAAAAGTCCCTTGATACTAATTTGTTTGAGGAGCAGTCAGAAAAAAGAGTGAAGGAAAGTGAAGAAAGCCTGAGAGTTATGTGGGACACCATCAAGAGAAATAATATGCTTGTAATAGGAATTCCAGAAGAGGAGAAGGAAAAATAGTACATAGAGAATTTTTGAAGATATGTTGGCAGAAAACT